GGTAAGGGAGCAAGGCAGGGGGTAAGCAGGCTGTTCCGCGGGGTAGGGCAAGGGTGGGCAGCCCTGTGGATTGGTTCAAGGCCAGGCTGTCCAGCTCACGACTAGTTAGTACCACCTCAACATCTCGACGACTGATCAGTGGTAATCCAAACAGATTGTGGTAGACACCAGGCCGGGGAATGGTGGTTTCCTTGTAGTGCACTCCATCTCCCTGGCCTTCAGCCCCTAGCAGCTTCAGGCCTCGTAATCCCAAACCTCCAGGGGAGAGCCAAGGGAAGACAAGGCTGCGGGCAGGCCGCAAATACCGCACACTGAAACGCCTGAGCGTGTCATCTGTTACTTTAGTAAGGCCAAACATCATCCGAGCCAGCTGGGCCTCCTCCGGCTCAGGCAGCTCCCAGAGAGGTACGGCTCGGTCCCAGATCCTCCGGACCTCCTCACTGTCCTCCGCTTCTGGGGCCTCACTGAGCAGGACCCCCTCTCTGGCCCCATCTCCTCGCCCCTCCACGCTGGCCTGGAAGTCTTCCCAGCTCCCCTCTGCTAGGCTGGTCATGCAGAGAAAGCAGCCTGTGGTCTTGTCGATGAAGAGGCTGAAGGAAGCAGCAGCACCATTCTGGTCCTTAAGCGGCAAGGCCTTCACAAAGGGGCTGGGTGCCCGCAGGCAGCTGTGGCCATCTTGGAAGGGGATCCCATGTGCCCGCAAATATTGGCGGATTTCAGTTGCAGTTACAGGCAATACTGGTACTTCCAAGGCTGGGAGAGCCTCTTTCCTGTACCGTCTTCGAGGAGGGCCTGGGGCCAGGCTTCTGGGCAGGCCCCTGCGACCCATCCACTCCCCACGCTGGGGCAGCAGGATACGGAGGGGGTACCCACCTCGAAGGAGTACCCACATTCTTAGTCAAACCGAGGAAGTCACTACTTGAAATGCTTTCCGAGGCTTTCACTAGGTGGACCCTAAGGATCCTCTGCACAGCTCCCTACAGAACCCACTAGAGGTGGTTTCTTTCTTCCAACTTCCCCCTTCCCTCTCTGAATCCTCTTCAGCCCCTCTGAATTGCTACTTCACATCTATGGCCATCTACAGGACCCTTCCACGTCCGGGGGCTTCTATCTGGCTCTCTATCTCCATGGCCCTGTGCAGCCACCACCTCACCTCTACGACCCTCCGCACTGCCCCTCACCGCCGTGCCTTGTCTAGATCATCTCCTCACCACTCCCGCCCCTCCAGGGGATCTCCTCGCCGTCCTCATGTCTACCGCCGCCTGCGTCCTTCCTGGCCCCAACGAGCCGGCCCCCAACTCGAGGCTCTCTTCGCCGCTCCTTCCTTCGAAGGGGACTCACAAGTAGAGCGCCACCGGGTGGCTCCCGCCGGTCCCCGCGCTCACCTCGTCCCCGCGCCCGTGTCCTTCCTCGGCTCTACTGCCAAGAGCGGTGCCGCTCACGACCGTGGCCACGCATCACCACCTTTCCTTCGCTCCTCTCTACCGCAACGTGGGTCTATGACCTACGCCCCGCGCCATGACCGCGGAAGCAAAACTCCCCGGACGCGTGTGTTCCCGGAACCGGAAGCCTCGGCGTTCGTCCCGCCCCCAGCCCGCGAGGCCAGGCTGGGCTGCAGGGCGCTGTGGCGATGACCGCGCGCGGGACCCCGAGCCGCTTCCTGGCCAGTGTCCTCCACAACGGGCTGGGTCGCTACGTGCAGCAGCTGCAGCGTCTCAGCTTTAGCCTCAGTCGCGATGCTCCCTCGTCCCGCGGCGCCAGGTGAGCCGGGCGAAGGGGCGCGGGGTGCTCTCGGGACAGAGGTCGCCGAGGTCGGGCGTCGCCGTGTTTACTCTTCTCGGCTTCATCAGGGAGTTCGTGGAACGGGAGGTGGCCGACTTCGCCCGACGGAACCCGGGGGTCGTAATATACGTGAACTCGCGGCCGTGCTGTGTCCCCAGAGTAGTGGCCGAATACCGTGAGTGGGGCCGGACGAGGGCTGGAGGGCGGCATCCTGGGGGTTCCTCGCGGGCTCTCCTTCTTCTAGTCTTACCCTGATCCATCCGCTTCCTTCCTTCCTCCCACCCCCTTTCGGCCAGTTAACGGGGCTGTGCGCGAGGAGAGCATCCACTGCAAGTCAGTCGCGGAGATTGCGACGCTGGTGCAGAAACTGGCGGACCAGTCGGGCTTGGAAGTGATCCGCATCCGTAAGCCCTTCCACACGGACAACCCTAGCATCCAGGGCCAGTGGCACCCCTTCACCAACAAAGCGACGGCGCTGGGCGGGCTGCGCCCGCGAGAAGTCCAGGATGCTGCCCCAGCCCAGGTGCATGTGCCGTGACGCGTTGCCCCGCCAACTCCAGCCCCAGGCTTTGGACTCTTACCCTGGTGGTAGTGGTTCCTCCTCTTTGGTTCAGGGAATTGCAAACCCCTGCAGGCAGATGGAGCCCACCAAGAGGGAAGTTGACGCCAAAGCTTTTGCTTGGGATAAAGAAGAATGGCCTGTCTTCGTTGCGTAGGAGAAAGGGCAGTGACTTTGTTAGTCTCCTAATTATTACCCAGTTGACATCCTTGAAACCTGACTCTTCAAGGATTTTACAGGCTTTTATTTCTGAAATCCAGATTGATATTAGCGATCTCAAATCTGGGTGTGGGGTTTCAAGACTGGCTTCTGAAGAATCTCTGATGTCCTATTGCCTTTTTTTTTTTTTTTTTAACATTCATTTTTGAGAGAGAAAGACAAAAGTGTGAGCGGGGGAGGGGCAGAGAGAGAGAGGGGGAGACACAGAATCCAAAGCAGCTTCAGGCCCTGAGCTGTCAGCAAAGAGCCCAACTCGGGCTCAAACTCACAAACTGAGATGATGACCTGAGCTGAAGTTGAACACTTAATGACTGAGTCACCCGGCACCCCCCGCCCCATCCTATTTCTGTAACCATTGAACTAAAGACAGCTAGCATCTTAGATTCTGGTGTGAACCTGGCATTAGGACAGCCACTTTACATCCGTGTGAGTGTTTAGATTAGAAAACTGAGATTAATAAACTTGCCCAAGGTTACACTTGAGGTCTTCAGAAGGTGTATATTTTAAGTCTAATGCCATTTTTCATGATCCTAAAACCAGAAGGGAAACATAACAACCCTTCAGGATGGTTAGTATTAAAGGCCATGTGATTAATCCAGTCCTAACCCTTGGAGAGATTCTCAGGCCAGGTCCCTGGTAACAAGCTTGCTGTGGTCCTAACTACTCCCCAAGACCCAACCCTTCTGCAGTAATGAATTCATGTTTTCCCTTGTTGGGGGAGGGGAGGGACTGTAAAGCTTCTTGGGGATGGGCAAGAGAGCTGGTAAACAGGGAGCATCTTCTAGGCTTAGCCAAAACAAGGGGGAGGAATCATGAGGAAAAGAGCCAGGAGATAAAAACCTAGAAGCTTTTGTATGAATTCTTGAACTGTTGTAATTTTGTTTGTCATACCCATACCACCGTGATCAGTGAGTAGTGAGAGCCTTGTAAAGGCTTGTGTATCCACCCAGGGCAGCCAGGTGGAAGCCGAGGGTCCCAGTTTCCCCTGCAAATGGTTTTATGGGGAGGAGAGCCAACCCTGCAGCACCGTTTTCCATAGACTCAGAAGCCTGCCCCCTGGCGATCAGGGGAAGGCCAGTCTAGACCAAGCAGACCACACATAGCTGTGGGGAAAGAGGGTATTTATTAACCAACAGGAGGGGGAGGAGCTGAGCCCAGGCTCCCCACTCGGTCACATGCCTGTTCTGCCCGCCTAGGTGGTGAGTGGGGGCATTCCTAAAGAAGTATAGCCGTTCTTACAATAAATACATTCATTGTGGGGTGGAGGTGGGAGAACTTGGGTGAAGGGCAGTAAAAACCCGTGGGATTCCACGTTCTCAGCTACAAAAATAACAGTCATCCTCACCCAAAGGGAATGGGGGAACTCAGTCAGGATTTGATTGTCCCATATGGGCCTGGAGACTTCAGAGGCCCCTGGACCCTGAAAGTGCCCCGGTGAGGTAGGACAGGGATGGCAGCCAAGCATCCAAACTCCCAGCCTCTGCCCTTTGCATAGTTCCAAGAATGGGCGTCATGTGCCAGGCGAGACATCAGATCTCCTCCCCCTGCTCTGGTCCAGGGGTAGCAAATGCTTGGTCCCCAAAAGGGAGGCTGGCTCATTGCAGTATTGGTCACCCGTCCTAGGGAAATGTCTGAGAGGACAGCTGAATGGGAGAGGGCTCTCCCTCTGAAATGTCCGTGGACCAAACCCAACAGATAGAGGTCCGAAGCAGCAAAGGGAGGCTCAGAAACGCAAGTGGAAATGTAAGCATGTGTGTGTGAAGGGACATGCCTGGGACTCTGTCTGTCACTCTTGAGAGTGACTAAGGGGGTGAGGAGGTTGACCGAAGAGGGCTGCACATTAAGGACGAAGAGGGGAATGACACAGTCTTACCTCAGTCCCCTAGGGCTGGGACTAGGGGAGAAACCTAGGTTGGATGGGATATGGCGATTGGAAGGGCACCCAAAGTCCAGGAGAGACGAAACACAAGAATGTACCAGGAGATGGGGTGGGGGCCCTGCAGCCCAGCTGATAGACATTCATCCATGTGCACATGTGAATGTATGCAGGGCTCAGGTGGCTCTGGTGGCTGGCAGAGGTCTTGTCTGGTTTCGGGACCATCCAGCACATAGGGCCATGCAGAGGGTGGTGACATTGAGGTCGTCTGGACCTGCAGAGCCCTGCCTGGAGAAAGAGGAAGGATTTGAACAGACAAAGGGGGCAGGAGGATGGCATCCTCTCCGCCCAAGTGCTTGGGGTGAGGGCATGGAGTGCTGGGGCTGGGGCCACAGCATTCCGGGGCCTGAGGGAGTACCCACCTCTGAGGAGCACCGGTTGGCCTGGGCTGCTCACAGATGGGTCTGTGGAGACTGAGGAGGGGGCTTTGGCTGGGCCTGACTCTGCCAGCCCTACAGGGACATCAAAAAGTTGGGAGAAGGGCCTGGGGTTGGGGGCTGGGGAGGTGAAGGTAGAGTGGCTGTGTTGGGGAAGCGACAGCCCAGCCTGGGGCAGACAGGCTGGCTTGGAAGAGCATTTGTCCGAGGAGGCTGGGCTCAGACCGAGCTCTCATCCAGGTGCTCCACAAGCTGCGTGTGCTTCCTCTTCTCCAGGATGCGGCTGAGCTCCTCGGCAAATGAGCAGGGCCCCGCCGGCACCCCGTTGTTGCTCTGCCTCAGGAGCACGTAGCTGTTGCCGTTCATCCTGCGCAGCCGGCTGGGCAGCGCCACCAGCCCGTTGGTCAGCTCGGCTGGTGGCGGTGGGGGTGGTGGAGGCGGCGGGGCTGGGGCTCCCTCCCCAGGGATGATCTGGAGGCAGCCACCTTCCAGGCCCCCAGGCCCCTCCCCGTCATCACCGTCATCTTCGTCTCCAGGACACTGGCCCGAAACCGTCTGCAGCTGCACAGCAGAGCCCCCTGCCCGGCCAGCCCGACCCAGAGAGTATTTTCTTCGACGCCCTCGTCTGCCTCCCTGAAGACAGGCCACGTATAGGAGGGAGGAGGCCAGGATGAGGCAGAGGCCACCGAGTGCGGCAATGGCCAGCACGTACAGCAGCCTCACGTCAGGTGCCAGCTGTGCCCCAGGCATGGCAGGGGCTTGTGGAGCTGGGGCAGGGGTGGCGGGCCGCACTGTGAGGCTGTAGGAGGCCAGCAGGGTGCGGAGCCCGTTCTCCTCAGCATAGCAGCCGTAGTTGCCACTGTGCTCAGGCTGTATGTTTGTCACCAGCAGCCCGTCCACGCCCACGCGGTAGCCATGCTGCCCATCGTTCAGGCCCATGGTCCCATTGAGCAGCCACAAGGCCCGGGCCAGGTTGGATGGCTGGTCACAGGGCAGGAGGACATCATCACCTCGGAGCACAGAGCGGGTTTTCAAGGGTGGTGGTGGCCCTGGAGGGGGTGAGAGGAGTGGTCAGTGCTTGTCTACCTGAGGGAGGCAATCGGAGAGGGCAGGCCAGATGGCTCACCGTTCTGTCCCTGGCACCAAGCACAGAGTCTGCAATCATGGTGACAACTGACTAAGGTCTCTCAACTCATGTTCCTGTTTAAGGTTTGCATGGGCCCTTCTCAGTGATTTCAGTTCCTGCTATCTGCCAGGGATTTTAATCTCGAGCTCCAGCACAGAGTTCTTTCCTGACCGACACACTTGGACATCTTGCACATGCAGGGCATCTCCGCGTGCAGTCTCTTGAACACGGCACAGGAACTAAGGCCCATGAATTGTCACAGTGAATGGCACCACTAGCCACTCAGCTGCTCACGTCAGGAACCTGGGAGTCTCCCTTGCCTCTCTCTCCCCTTCACCTTTGTGTCTAATTCTCACCAAGATTCTGCTTCCAGAATCCATCCCAGCCCTGTTCACTTTTCTCCTTCCCCAGCTGCTGGCCCACTCTGGCCCCCATCTAGTTCATTTTCCACGCAGCAGTGGGGTAACCTTTTAAAACCACCACACTGATCGGGTCACTCCCCTGCCTCAATGTATTCGCCGCCCACGTCTCCAGCCTTTTCTCAAACCCACCAAGCTCACCTGCCTGCTATCCCCTCCGCTTGGATGTCACCCCCCTCTCCTTGCCCTCCACCGGTTGACCGGGAGGAAAGAGCACAGAAGTGATGAAAAGCACAAGCTCCAGTCAGACTGCTTGGGGTCAGGTTTGAATTCTGACTTTACTACCTAATAGCTTATTAACTTTGGACAGTTTACTTCTTCTCCCTGAACCTCAAAAGATTGCCCCTCATGGGGAGGGGGATCGTGGCACCTCTCTCCTAGGAATGCTGTGAGCGCAAGAGATCGTGTGTGTGTGTCCAGTCAGCGCCTGGCACAGGGGAAGTACTCAGCACATGTTAGCTATGACTGTTCTGCTCTTCTGTTAGGCATCAGCTCGGTCATCTGATCTTCCTCAGGGGAGTATTCATTATCCTTCAAATCCTTGTCATAGATGTAAGTATTCCTTTTGTAGCAAAAACTAATGGAAATAATGACTTGTGAGATCATTTAATTGCCACCCCCCCCCCCCCAACACACACTTGGCTATAAGCTCCAGGCGTGACAAAAAACTTTTTGCCTTGAGCCTTTCTCCTCATTTATAATTCTTTTGGACAACAAATATTTGTGGAGCACTTACTCTGTGCCACACCGTGCTGGGACATCCTCGCTGAGCGCACACAGATGCAACCACGCAGATATGTACGTGCACAGGCAAATGACAGTGTATGTAAAGAGGACAGGCTGTGCGGCCAGGCCTACACATGTCCATGCATGTCACTTACCTGTGTCCCTGTTGCCTTCACAGCCTCGGTTTCCTCTCTCTATGTCCTGTATCAGTGCTGTCCTGAACTCGTGAACAGGGGAATTGAGCTTTAGTGGAAGTCAGTGGTGCTGTTACCAACAAGCAACCCATCCCCCTCCCACTACCAGGCCTTCATCCTCCCCTCAGGCTCCGGTCCCCTGTTCACATGGGACCCTCACACCCTTACTGCCTCTTACCTGCTACCCTGGGACCTGTTGATTATGGTGCAGGCATGGGTGCTGGGGTCCCAGCCACAGTAGGGGTCCCGGGCCAGGATGCAGTCATAGCAGGAGCGGTAGCGGGAGCAGCTGGACAGTGGTAGCTGCATGACACCGCTAGGGCCCCCCACGTAGAGGCTATGCTGGGAGCCAGAGAGGAAAGCTAGTTGGCAACATCCCCGACTCCCGCCTGCAGACGCACGTAGCCACTGCCCAGCCACCTACTCCCTCCCTGTTCTCTGGCAAGTCGTGGGTCAGAGGCTTACCTGCATTGTCGAGATGACCAGATTTTCCACAGACTGGGGCTCCTTGAACACTTGCGTCTCTTCAATAATGTGCATCCCGGAACCCAGCACCACGGCCTTGTGGATCCAGCCATCAGCTGGTATGGAAAGGGCAGAGGGTCAGAACCCAACAATGGAATCTGTTTTCAGCCCCCTGCAGTAGTCTAATGGGAGTAGCTTGGGAGTCATCAGGTCAGGGACAAGGATTCAGCCAGTAACAGTTCCTCAGGACTGGGAACAGTTCTCTGGCTGGAACTCTGGGCTTGTCATAGCAGGAATTATTGGGACCAGAAGCATTAGTGATCAGGGACCAGTATCATTGTGGCTGGTGGCAGGAATCTGCAGTTACCAAGAGCCAGTGGCCATAGGGGGTCAGTAGTGAGTGCTCCTTGAAGAATCAACATCATTGGTCACCAAGGTTTTGTGATCAAAAGTCCTCCCAGATGAGCGGTCAACAAGGGTCAAGGACTCAGGTCAGGGGTTGAAAGTACCTGTGCCCAGAAAAAGCAGGTCATAGGTGGGTCCAGCAGGCGTGAGGACGGGTGTCCCTGTGAGATGGGTGTAGCGCACGCTGCGCTTGAGCAGCAGGGGCCGTCCGCGTGTGGGTACCACGGGCCGAGCCATCAGGGGGTGCAACTTCACAAAGTCCAAGACCAGCGACGGCAAATCCTGGGATGAGTTGTAGCCGCGAGTGCGCAACGAGTCTGTGATGCACTGGGATGGAGGGCAGAGGCGGTGAACCTCAGGAATCTACTGCCTGCCTGCCCTCCACCCCCCAAGGCTAGGCCCTCCCGCCCCTCCCAGCGGTTCTGACTACTCAGCACTGACCCCAGGCCGGGGCACTCACTGAGCCAGGCCGGGGCTCCGGCACCCCACCCTCATAGCGGCCCCAGCGCCGGGCACCATCCTGGTATTCCATGTAGGGACCTGCGAAGACAGCCTGCACCTCGGCCAGGTCGTAGCGGCAGATGGCTGAGGCCTCTAGGGTCTTCCTAGGAAGGGACATAGGGGAGGGGCCTGAGCCACACTGGGTGGAGCCTGCCCCCTGCCACCTGCCCCAGCCTGGAGCCCCTGTTAGCCTAGCCAACTCCAGCTCTAGGCCTCAGGGCCTCTCCTAAGGGTCAGGAGGCTACTGTGGCCTCCGGCTCCAGGCTGGCTGGCTGTGCCTGAAATTCTCTTGGAGGCCAGCCTCCCCACAAGGGATCCTGTTTCTCTCATTGACCTCTGCGCCAGCCTTCCTGCTGTCCCCAGTTCCCTGTGTCCCCACTGTCCCTGCACTGACCACTGTGTGGTCAGCGTGAAGGCCGCATAGAAGTGTGTGCGGGCTGAGGTGTCCGTGTCCAGGCTGCAGACCCCACGTAGCGTCTCATACTGTGGAATGTGGCAGACTAGACGCGCCTTTAAGAAGGAGGTCCACTTCTTCTGCAAGATCTTTTTTCCTCCTAGGTCTCCCTGGTGAGGGAGGGCACAGGGTCAACGTCAGAGGGTCAGCCTGCACACTCTTGCCCCACACTTGCTCCTCCTCACCTTGCACACACGGGCCACACGGGCCACACGGTGGCTGTTGCGGCTCTGAGTGAAGCTGTTGGGGCCCTCGTCTGTGGCCCGCTCCGTGAAGAAGTAGTAAACCTTGTCATCATCACCCACAGCACTGGCCTCGCTCTCCCGTACCAGGACGGAGAACACAAACTCAGCATCTGTGGGGTGGGCAGTTCAAGTGGCCCCTGAGACAGGATGGGGATCCCTCTGCTACCCCTTACTCAACCACACACAGGAATAGACAGGCTCACCTGGGAATTTGGGGATGGGCTGTCAACTGCCCAAGGGAGTAAAGATGGATAGTCCCCAGCCCCCCATTATCCTGTGCCTCATCCTCCTAACCATTGAGCCAGTGCATCGGTGCCTCCTCAGTCCTCAAGGAGTGCGGGTGGCGGCTTCGGCGGATGTCGGGGATGCTCCGGAATTCATACCGTGTGGCTGTGTAGAGGCCTCCATCTGGAGCACACGCATGCCACGTGTGACAGACACGTCACATACAACAAGGCACATAACACATATCAGTGGCAAGTCCTAGCAACGAGATCCATGTCCCCCAAACGGTATGCTGATGCATGAGGGGCCAGGGTGGGGAGGAGAGCACGCTCACCGATGATGAGGCCCGTGAAGCCACGGGCTGGGTCGTAAGGACACTTCTCCTTCCCCTCCTCAAAGCTTGGTGGCAAGGTGAAGGCCTCAGCATCCTGGGGGAATAGGAGGCCAGAAGTCAGTGGTCTCGAGGACAGGCAGGGGTTATGGCCCAAGCTCAGACCAGTCCAGCACCAGGCACCAGCAATCAGGGCTGGGCTGGGGCAGGCGTACTCACAATGGCTGCACAGAGAGGCTGGAAGGCGTGAGTCCCGCAAGCGTAGAAGTGGGTGGCATTGAGTCGCTGAAGGAATCGCACATGGTTGAAGCACTCCGTCTAAGGATAGGTGGGGGAGGGCTGTGAGCCCCCAGCCTGCTCAGGGGCCTTTTCCATTAATTCAGCTTTGTAGTCCGGCTCTTGCCCCCACCCACGGGACACAGTTCTGAGATCCCAGTGGGCCTGCTCACTGCCCAGAACACAGACCACTCCCTGGAACCCGTTGTCCTTTGGCTTCCCACTGCCATGACCCTTCTCTCTTCTATCTCACTGTCAGGGTGACCTGACACGTTTGCCAGCTTCTCCTGCATTTCCTGCAGTCCTCTGCACCCCTGGTTCAGGGGCACCCAGGGCGCCCACCACCCTGAGATACTTCTCACGTCTCCTTCTCAGCAGTGTCCCCTGGTCCTGGAGCTCCCACACCCCCTGCGGGGTGACACTACCAAATGTACCCCCCAGGCTCTGGCCCTCGCCCCACCAGGTAGCTCACGGACACATCCAACTCATCTGGTCACAAACCAAGCTCAATCCCTCCTCCCTAACCCGCACCCTCCCTCCTAAACCTGTTCATCCAGTCTTTCCCACCTCACTTCATCCATCCATCCTCTTCCTCAGTCCAGATGCCGGGACTCATCCTTGCTGCTTCCCACTCCCTCATCCCCACGTTCAGTCCTCCCAGATTCTTTGTGGTAACGTCTCCTGACGTGGCCCACTTGCCCTCCACCTCCACCACCCTAGTGCATGTCACCACTGTCGCCTCTTCCTGGGACGGCTGTAGAGACTGCCTGACAGTTCTCCCGAGCCCCCACCACTCCATAAAAGCTACGTACTTATTCAGTGAGTGAGAAATACATGTACACAATGTAAAATTCAAAAGATACAGACGGGTATGCTGTAAACAGAGTGTCTCCTTTTATCCCTGTTGCCTTCAAAGGGGACTGCTCTTTCCATTGTCTGGAGTTTCCCTTCCAGAGATATTCTACTGATTAGCACCCTCTGGCAATCCACTTTCTGAGGCATATTTTAAACATGTAAACCAAATCATGTCATTGCTGGATTTAAAAAACCTTCAGTGGGGGCGCCTGGGTGGCTTAGTCGGTTAAGCGTCCGACTTTCGCTTAGGTCATGATCTCACGGTTCGTGGGTTCGAGCCCCGCGTCGGGCTCTGTGCTGACTGCCAGCTCAGAGCCGGAGCCTGTTTCAGTCTGTGACTCCCTCTCTCTCTGACCCTCCCCTGCTCACTCTCTCTCTCTAGAAATAAAAAAATTAAAAAAAAAAAAACCTTAAAAAAAAATTAATAAAAAACCTTCAGTGGCCCACTAGAGTCCTGAACGTAGGGTGCCACCCCTTCTGGCCCTGCATGGTAGGGCTCTGCGCCTTCCTCCCCTGCCTCACCGGCTCCAGCCACGCTGCTCTTCTCTGCCCATTAGATGCCTCAAGCTAAGGCCCTCTTACGTCTTTGCCTTGTTAATGATTCCTCCTCCGGCCAGCCACCCAGGGTCTGAATCCATGCAGGCCTCTTTGTCTCATCCCATTCCCTCTCCAGGTCCCTCCTCTCCACTAGACTGCTCAGGCCTTCCTCCTCTGACCCCCACGAGGCCCCCAACCTTCGCTGCCTTTCCTGCCTCAAGACTCACTATTTTATGATATTTTTTAGAAAAGTTTTTTTTTAAGTTTATTTTTATTTATTTTGAGAGAGAGGGGTGGGGGCAGGGGAGAGGCAGAGAGAGAGGGAGAGAGATAATCCCAAGCAGGCTCCTCACGGGGCTCAAACTCACGAACCATGAGATCACGACCTGAGCCAAGTCAGATGCTTAACCAACTGAGCCACCCATGCGTCCCATAGACTCACTCTATTTTAATCCATCTAGTGCCTGGGCTGGATTAGTATTACACTAGTCGTGTTTCCCCAAGATGTTTACATTAAAAAAGACATTGGGAGGGGAAGGAGAGCACCTTGGGTGGCTCAGTAAGTTAAGTGTCTGACTCTTGATTTTGGCTCAGGTCATGATCTCACGGTTTGAGGGATCAAGCACCACGAGGAGCCTGCTTGGAATTGTCTCTCTCCCTCCCCCTCCGCTCCTCCCGCCCATTCATGCACACACACACTCTCTCTTAAAATAAACTTAAATAAATAAATAAAATAAATGGGGGGGGGGAGGGAGGAATTCTGTGGTCAAATATGTTGGCAATCATGGCTAGAACTTGCCTTTCCGGGATCTTCTCAGAGCCTTAAAGATGCTGCTGTGCACTGTGGGATTGAGCACACAGCATTTCCCAAACTCCTGACCATGAAACTCCTCTTTTGAAAATTAATGTTTCTCAGAACATGCTTTGGGAAGTGTTCTCCCAAAGCTTTGCTATCCAAAGTGTGGCCTGGGGATCACCAGTATCAGCTTCCTCTGGAAGCTTGTTACAAAATGGCGGAATCGTGGACCTTCCCAGATTTACTGAGTTAACATCTGCATTTATAACACACCCGGGTGATTCATGGGCACACTACAGTCTGAGAGTCTCTGAGTAACAAACGGTGAGGGTGCCCACTGTCACAGAATAACACCCATATCTCCAGCTGGGTTTTGCAGTGCTCTGCAACCTGGGTTCCACTTGCCTCCCCAGCCCCACTTTCTACCCATGCTGCACCAGCAGCACCTTTGATGAAATCTCCTAGCGGTGCCTCGTCAAACACAGCTATCGCGACCCCGCCCCAGACCCACTGAATCAGAATCTCTGGGCCAGGGAATATAGTTTCTTTCTTTCTTTTGGGGCATGGCTCTAGGCCCAATGTGGGGCTTGAGCTCACGACCTCGAGATCAAGAGTTGCATGCTCCACTGACTGAGCCAGCCAGGCGCCCCTGGGACTGTGTATTTTTAAAAAGCTCTCCAGATGGATCTGTTACATAGCCAGGCATGGGACCCCTGCGGACACCCTGTTCTTTAGTGTGAAAGAACTGGCAATTCACTAAGAGGCCTCTATAGAATATTTGAGCTATTCTTTGACGAAACCTCATTTTTCTCATCTGCAAAATGGAGGATAATTCTATTTCACAGGGTTATTTTAGAATTAAGAGAGATAACGGCTAAGTCAACATTTACTAGAGATTACCTAGCGCTCTCATGATTATCACGCAGGAGCCGGGAAGAGATTAAGATGCCACTATAGGCCACGCTGGTAGGTGACGAGATGTTTGGTTGAGAAGTGCTGCACCTAGGGCCCGCCACTCTGGCTGCACTCACGTGTTTGCTGCGGTTGCTGCAACTGACTGGCTGACGCACACCTCTCCACCTGCGTCCCCACCAACCCTGGCATCCCTAACTGAAGAGAAGGAAAGGAGCTGGGGACAGGACAGACCACATACCTGGTTGTTTTTCCCTTTTTGATGACATTTGCTTTGCATCTCTGGGGAGGCCTCCCAGTGGATCTGGAGACAGGGAAAGAGAATGGGTTGATGTGTTGACCCCAGGACCCTTCCCTTTCACCACTGTCTGTGGGACCAGGTGATAGGACTGCAGGGAACAGGGGAAACTGGTACGGGTGAGTTTCAGGAGGAGCAGTGCATGGTAAGGGAGCCCTGGGTTGAGAAGGGCCGTGCTATCTGACCAGGGGGCTATAGCAGGCTGGTGAGGCTTCTGGGAAATTGAGGTCCCAGGGAGGTGGATAAAACTGGAGACCCTCCAAGGGTCCTGGGTTCCAGGGGCTAACCTCTTTGTGAGCCCCATCTCCTATGTCACGGGCATTGAGAGAGAACAGGGCACCTCGGGCTCCAACCAGCAATCTTGCCGAAGACTCCTCCAGCAGCAGTGTTGAGTAGTTCTGGGCTTGGCCCTTGAAGTGCCGGGTCTTGGAGAGCTCTGGGGAGAGCGGGAGGAGTGAGCCCAGCCCTGGGGTGTCCTCCCCACTCCCAGACCTGGCTCCTGCTGCCTTTCAAAGTTGGGGAGGGGGCATCTAACCTTCGTAGGGGATGGTCATCCGTGGGGTGGCATCTAGTTCTCTGGATGGTCTCCGCAGCGAGGGTCCAGGGACTGCAGACGCTGTGAGGAAGCTCAGGAAGAGGGGCCAGAGCCTCCCCCACATTTTCCTGGGGAGGCCCAGACCGGTAAGACCCCCAAGGGGAGCCAGGGCCAGAGTCGCAGGGTATGATGGGAAGAATAGTCACAGGGGTCAAGGTCCAGGGAGGTCACTTGGAAGGTCAGGGGTCATGGGGCCAGGGAGGGTCCTGGAATCGAGGCGACATGGAATCACAGGGTTGTGTGGCCATGGAATCCCAGGTTAGAGGTCAGAGGGAGGGATGGATCACACACTGCTTTTCTGCATCAAATACAAACTGCATGGTGAGAAGGAGTTGTGGGGTCATAGGGAGGTTGTAGGTCACTGATGGGGTCACCCTGCCCCAACAGCAGGACTAGTTCTGGTTCTCTGAGGTCCGTTCTCTAAAGAAAAAAACAGGGTAAAAACACTCTTTTATCTGTGTGTGGGTGGAAGGTAGGTGGCATTGCCCCCAGACTTCAGGGGGCACTGGTGGGAGGGGCCCAGGGAACTCCCACATCAGGATTGGCTGTCACTCTGTCCACTTCTCTGCTCTGATGCAAGTTGGGTAGAACTTGCCCTCCTTACAGACCCTAGACTCCTCTGAGTCTGAACCCAAAGTAACGGCCCTCCTCTGATCATGTCAGAAGCTAAGCTAGGCCTCCGTCTCGGGTGGAGCTCCGTCTTCAGGGAGAATGTCCTCTCCTCCCAACAATGGGACCAAACTTGGGGCAGCAGCTGCCCCTGCTGCCTGCGGGGGTGCCTTATGCAAGAAGGCTTGGGCAGAGACATGTAATGGGCCTTTGTTGATTTTGTCCTGTTTTCCCTTTGTTTTTTCTTTTCCCTGGCCTGAGAGCTCCCTCTGGAATTTCTCTTTAATTAGACACTTCTCCTCCTCAGCATTCCTCTCCGAGGGGGTGCACATCTCTATTCTGCCCATGCGAGTCTGTACTGCACCCTCTGGCTTGGCATCTGCACATGTCCCTACCTGCAAACAGGCGCTCATAGACATGGGGGGGTTGGTATCTGGGCCCCCTGGCTGCACTGCACAGGTGTAATGTCTGTGCAGGATGCTCTAGTGTACGTGGCCAGTTGAGACAAAAGCAACATGGAAAAGGTGAGTGACGGGGATCCCTGAGCTCTTGGCCACCTCACCTGGCTTATCCTGGTGACTGTTCCCGCACCTGGACCCTCTCCCAAGCCACGTGCAGATGGGGTGGAAGTAGGTGGCAGATCTCCTCTGACCCCTGTAATAGGCCTGATCTCTGAGGTGGCTCTTGAAGGCTTCCTGGACTGGGGTGGGTGTGGAGGAAGCCCGACCCACCCAATCTCATCAGACACCCACAGACAGGGCCACAAAGGCCACTGGCCTCTCCCCTCTTTTCCAGGTCAAATATTAACTATGTGGCCTTGAAGAGAGGGGAAGGACCAGGAGCTAGCCAGAGGGAAAACAGGAATTTGGAGCATTTATTCAGGAGGTAAAGGTCAGCACTGTAGCGGTCAGAGCCCAGAGGAGGAAAAGGTAGTAGGAGTGTAAAGAGGGTGTTTGGACCACAGAAAGGGCATCAGCTCGTTTGGGGGCTGGGCAGTATGAGGCCCCAGGCAAACTGCCCATGCCCCACCCCTCACTGTGGAGGCACACCTGTTTACCTTTGGGGCCTCCTATTTGCTTAGTGCAGAAGTTGGGGAGGGGGAGGGCAGAGGGAGCCCTATGGCTATGAGGTATCAGTCTCTAGGATTGGGCAGGAGGAACACACTCCAGGTTCGAGAAACCACTTGGAGTGTGGTTCACAGCCGAAGTCACACAGGACCAGAGTGGGGCGACGTGCATGCGATAGGTGTATGTACACACACATTCACAGAAGGGCTGTGGACAAATGTACTCATAGGAAAGTCATGCACGCGTACATTCACAGGGAGGTTTGTGCACACATATGTTCATATAAAGGGCCTGCCAGATGTGTCCATACACAGTGATGAATAAGGCTCTATTCACATATTCACATCCATTCATTCGGCTGATCACACAGCCTCAGAAGTTAACAAGGAGGGTTATAAATCCACACATGTGCATAGGAAGGATTGTACGCCTACTCACAGAAAGGTCATGCACACACACACATTTGTGTAGGGACATGCACACAAACCCCCACTGATACCATAGTTGAGGCATGTTCATCTTAACAGAAGGGTCAAGTACATGTATGTTCACACAGTGCTCCAACACACAAATTATATGCATGCAGAGACAAGCATATGTTCAAACAGGGAAACAGGGGTCCAGTTTTCACTGCAGGCTTGGAGGCTGCTAGTGTCCACTGAGGTGCAGAGCAGCACTACCTCCCTTCCCGAAAGTCCCAATTTTTTTTTTAATTTTTTTTTTTTCTAGGAGGGAGAGAGAGAGAGAGACAGCGTGAACAAGGGTGGGTCAGAGAGAGAGGGAGACACAGACTCTGAAACAGGCTCCAGGCTCTGAGCCGGCAGTCAGCACAGAGCCCGACGCGGGGCCCGAACCCACGAACCGCGAGATCATGACCTAAGCGAAAGTCGGACGCTTAACCGACTAAGCCACCCAGGCGCCCCCCGAAAGTCCCAATTTTAAGGCCAGATTCCAAATGTGTGTGCTCGTGTGTGCGTGTGCGTGTGGTGATGTAGGGAGGCATCTGACCTCAGATGTTCAAATGCATTGGGCCTCTCCGCAAAGGAGGGAAGGGGTACTTAACCCAGACCGGAGGAGGGCCCTAGCTTCAGCAAAGGAAAGATGGAATGGAACTTAGCACTCATTGCTCCACTCCCTTGTATGCTGCCCTTCTAGATATGGGAGGTGGGCAGGGGCTCCCAGCCTCCATTTAACCTGTTGGGAGGGAGGGCGGGGCTAAACGGGGGGGGGGCGGAGCCGCTGCCCTCCCTCCCCCAGTAGCCACAAGGCTTCAAGGTCTCCAGTCCACACCCCACACTCCACCCCCAGTTCCATAGTTTGGGTTCCTCCCCAGGGCCAGCCCCCTGAACTCTGATCACCTTCCGAGTATTAGGTCCCAGGGCTGAAGAAACTGAGGAAGAGAGACACCCCCTCCCCCCAAAACAGGATCGATGTTTGATCAGCAGGCTCTCGACCTTCATCCCAGACGTCCACCTGCTTAGTGTAGGCGGCATTCCCCTCTGCCCAGTAGGATGGCCGTCTCTTCCTGCCTCAGAGCCCTTCCCCCGCTACCCTCTCCTTCCACCATTCTGGACAGTGCGAGGGTCTTCCCTCTCCTCAGATCTAACCTCAGTCTCTACTGCTGCAGCTCGAGGACAAGCTCTCCTTCGATCCCGGCGGACGCCAGGAGACGTGACCCAGATCCCGGGGAACACTGTTCACCACGCGGATCCCCGCCCCGCGCCGGTCCCCGACTCCGCGGTGGCGGGTCTGCGCCCAGCACGGCCCGAGGCCTGGCCCGCGCCCCTCCAGAGCCTTTATGCAGGACCCGGGGACTTGACGGTGAGAAAGGCCTGGCCCAGCTTGGAGGGTGCAGTGGATGTGGGGAAGGCCTGGCCTGGCCTCCGCCCCCCGGCCCAGGCCCTGCCGCCGCCCGCACTGCCTGCCTCTCTCACCTTTGCGCTTGGATCCCTGGCCATAGAGACAGCGACGCGCAGCTCCGCGGCCCCACAGCACCAGCTGCGGGAGGAAGGGGCCGCGGCCAGAGGCGGGGCGGGGGGTGGAGGCGGAGCAGGGGGTGGGGCGGGGCCAGGGAGGCGGGGCCGACAGGGTGGGGTGCTGGGAAGGGCGCCTCTCTCTCCTTTAGCGCCCCCCACCCTACACAATAGAGGTTTGAGGCCAAGGCTCACAGGGCCTCCGGACGGACATCTGGCGTCCTCCGCCCTCAAGGGCCGCAGCTCCAGCATCGCTCCCTGGTGGTGGCCTCACCACCACTGCGCCCTCGATGGGCTTCCAGCCCACTTTCCCTCCCCTCTAACCCCAGGAACCTTGCGACTTGCCTACTACGGAGGACTTGCAGACATGTACTCTGGGGGCTTAACTTTCCAAGGGCCCTCTGACCTGTCTTCTAATATGGACCTCGCTTCTTGCGCTCCTGCTACCCTCTTGGGCTTTCTCTGCCCAGGGTGCTTGCTGAGAGCCAGGATAGGTGGAGGCCAAGCCTTGGGGCAGCTCTGAACACAGAAAACGGGTCTGGATTCCCAGCTCCACGGCCTCCAGCTGCCTGGTGCTTCAGCTTGACGTGTGAGTGGGTGAAAGGAGTCGGGCTTGGAAGGATGAAGTAACAGGTTGACAAGAAATTCACACAGAAAATGCTGTTTTTCTGAATAAGCCACAATCGTTTGTACCTGTCCACTCAACTAAACCTTTTGGTAACGGGGTTCACCGCCTCAGGCACCAGGTCACTCGGATAACTGCCTTCCTTCCCTGCCAGCTCATGTTGAATATCATTCTTAATCCAGATCTTCCAATGAACTCTCCTCATAGGCAATCAGATATCCTGGCCCTCCTAGGCTCAATCCACCTCACCCAGCAGTGATCTAGGAAGCCCCCCTCATAATCAACTCCCCAACTCCTCTAACTCAACCAGGATGGTCCTCCCAGGCAACATTTGGTGCTGCAGTTTCCCTGCAACTCAGGCCACGCCTCTGCCTCAGGGCTTGTTTAAGATCCCTCTAGGGTTTGAATCAAGCTGGAGCTCCAGCCATGGCTCAGCCTGCTCCTCCCTCCCTCATCCATGCCAGTACTGAAATGGGCCCCAAAGCAGGACTACAATGATGATGCCCACAGGGACATGGGTAACTGACTCTTGCACGTGCCTGGGAATCTGAGCTCTGGAGAGGCAGGGTGTCAGGAAACAGTCAGATGAACCCTGGCTTGAGAGAAGGCGAACAAGATTCAAGTGGCTCTGTCATTATTTAACTGAAGGGACTCTGGGAAAGACATGTCCTCCCTCTTTCCTCAACTCCCCAAAGCTAGTTTGGCACTTCATCACATACAGTCTCGTAGTTGGGGCTGCTGTGTGTGACTCCAGATCGCTAGACAGCAGGGCCCACGCTACTCTTCCGCCTCCCCCAGCACTCTAAATAGGACGTGTGTGTATGTGGAGAAGGAGGCGGCTGGGAGAAACGCATATGTTCAAGTGTACACACACACTTACAAAGACTATCAGGCTTCATTTAAAAACACTATACCCTCATTCTGTCCTGAAGGATTAATAGCCCCATCTTATAGGTACGAAAACAGGTTCTAAGAGGTTAAGTAACTGGCCTTGAAATTCATTCTTGTGTTTACAGAGAGGAGAATCTGTACTGGAAAAACATGAGAAGAGAGATACAGGGTAAACCTGAAGAGGAATTACCAAAGGCAGAAATGTGCACGGATGTATACTGGGGTAGTAGGCAGAAGGGAAGGGGTGTGAAAGAGAAAAGTGAGTTTGATATGATGAGACAGGAGGGTTCCTAGTGGGAAATAGAACGGAAAAGTCAGCAAATAGCTCTGGAAAGACCACAGAAGAAAATCCTGGTAGATTAAGGAAGTCCAAGCTGGGAAGTCCAGGAAAGACATGGCTAAGAAAAATAAATCTGCAGTCCTGTGGGCAAGTGGCCTGCGGGTGACAGTGGAGGGAGGGCAGGAAGGCTGCTTGCTAGCCCCAGTCCCAGGCAGGAGAGAAATGAAACTGCAGGGGCCCAGTGGGCTAAAAGACACAGCTCATGTTCTCACAGAACTCAACAGTGCCGACTTCAGGTACCTCTGTGGCTGTAGTGATGTGGTGGCAGGTTGTTTAGCATCCCACTTGTCTACACTGCGAGGCAAGCCTTTCTCCTCAATGGTGCAGGATGGCAGATTCAGAACCTCACACATTTCAAGTGAACAGTATGTGTAAATTACAATGCAGAGTTCCAGCATGGCACTTGCAAAACAGTAGTTGAGCAGTGTATCTCTGATAATATAGATTTAGATCACAGTCCATTTCTCTCTGCTGTCCTTCCATTCAATCTCTGAACCTAATGAAATGATCAGATGTCATGGCAATTAATGGAACTTTCTATGGGAAGCCCCTTTGAAGGACGATGCTCTTCTCTGCAAATCAAGCTGATAAAATATGAATGAGGGGAATACCGACAGTGGAAGCGACTTGAAATCAAACCAAGAAATGAACCCTAACCTAGCCACAGACCTGTGTCCTGGGACACAGGCAGGACATTCTTTGAGCAGGTTGTCAGTCATCCTTAAAGGCACTACCCCTGGCTGCGTCACAGGGTAGCTGTGAGAGGACCCCATCTGAAAACCTTCGGGTGTACTTCACAAGCACAGAACATAGAACGTGGTTTTGTTTTTGCTAGGCTATTCTCGACTCCTAAGACGGTGGCTGTTGTCCTCAGCCACCTACACACCAACGTTTGCTCCAGGCTTTGCACAGAGCAGTTACTCACTGTAGCAGGGATCCTAGGTGAAGGGGGTAGGTGTGAACTCCTGAAACTTGAGCAGAGGTTCCCTGAGGCAAAGAACTCTGGCCTAGTCAAGTTGTCCTGCTTCCTGTTCACTGTGGCAGCATTTCTGTTCCTGCTTTGCCATCTTCACCTCCAGTTTGCCCAGCACTCTCCCTTTAGGTGATGTGCTCTTTACTTTGGCCAAATATACAGCCGAGGTGCTTCTTCGGTAGGGACTGTCACCAGGGCACCAAGGCTGTAGTCTCACTGTTCCACTGTGCCTCAGAAGCCCATTTTGCCTGTTAAGTTTTCCTCCCAGCCAATCGTCTTGGAGTCAGACCCAAAGCTGGGCCTTCTGGTTTGCCCTCTCTTGAAGCCAGCCTGGGGAATGGTTAGCAAGGAAAAGGGAATGTCAGGACAGGTCCATAAATGCTGGAAAATCACCACCCACCACCCCCTCTCCATATTAGCATGCTGAGTCCTGAAGAATGTCACGAACTTATATGCGCATATATATATGTATTTTTTTAACCAGTTGAAACAGAGCTGGACAGAGAAGCCTCTGGGGCTGCCTGTCAGAAGGCACAGAGCACACCCACACTACAGTTTTAAGATATGGTTTGCTTAGATGTCAGTGAACTTCCCACCCTCCCCACCAAGTGCCTTAAGTTCAAGTTTAGCTATCATTTGAGAAGAGCTTTGAATTAGAGCTAAATAATAACACTTAGCATATATGTCAGACACCTTGCTAAGTACTTTTCACGCATTAGTTCACTTAATCCTCACAAGTTCTGAGATAGACATCATTCCTTTTAACAGATGAAGAAATGAAAGTTCAGACAGGTTAAGTAACTTGACAAAGATCAAAGGGTTGGCATGGTCAAACTCTTAACTTGCACAAGGCCGTACTGCCTGCCTCCCCATACTTCAAGCAATGTCTATGCTCTCGCCTGGCTGTCACTCCCTCCACTTCTAAAATGCCCACAAGGGGTCTCCTCCAAACCGGCCTGTCAGAAGATGAAAGAAACACTGGCATGCATGGTTCTGGAACCTGAGGCCTCTGGTAACTCTACTATGAGCTCGTAACAGTTTCTCCTGGGAGGAGCTGTCAACCTGTGCCTCACCTCCCTCAGCTGGCATATCCATAGCCGTATCTGCCTGGTAGGTTGGAGGTGGTCCTGAGCCCTGCCTCTGCATTGTATGGCTTCTCCTTTCTTTGCCGTGGGCTCTAGAACAAGGCAGCTATGCCATCGGTGTCCCTTTTCTGTCCTTTGTCGAGTACCAAAGTATTTTCACCTGGATACCAGAAGGTAAGATTCAGGAGAGCTCTGTGCTGTTCACCACTGAATCATCAGGAGTGCCTGGCACGTAGTAGGTACGCAATAGTTGTTGATGAACGCAGTGAATGAGGTAATTTATGAATGAGATAACTGAACTGCTGACTGCAAAGTATGCAGCAGATTATTAGGGGGGTTATGTGAAAGTGAACTGTGTACAACTACAGCTTTATGTCTTCCAGCAACAGGAGACATCAAGCTAAAAAACAGACTGAAGAATCCAAAGCAAGGGGGAGAAGAAAATCACTCTAAAAAGTAGGGGATAGGGCAGGGGAAGAAACAGGACATTCTAGATACTTAACCATTCCCCACTCCAAAACAAATATTACCAAACACATGTTCAAACTGAGAAAGCATTTTTAATAACACACACATACATTCATGGGACTTTAAACAAGATGTAGTAAAAAAATCTTTGAAAAAAAAAAAGAGAAAAGAAATCTGCATTTACTTGTAAACTGCCTAAGAGCTGGTGGAATAACTGGCTGACAGGACTGCCCAGGGAAAACAATGCACAGATAATGAGGTGCACCAACACTGTTAACGAGTAAGAAATAACACCCACAGATCATCCTCCACATGCCCAGCCACCGGTACCCTGGTCCTGCCTCCTTAGAGACAAACCAGGACAGTCCCTTCCCTAATTTTCCAACTCAGTCACTTGTTAATGGGTCACCTCTTAAATTTTTTCTTTTTAAATTTAAAAATTACCCTTGGTTTAAAGACTCCACACATTATTACTGGCCAGTCCCCACCAAGTATACTTGTTTCGACAGAAATAAAAATGCAAATGCTCTGAGCCTGGATGACAACACGACCTTATCTCTCTTTTACATCTGGGGAGATTTTTGTGAAGTCAAAAGCAAGCTATTATTTGTACTGCAAAACAAAACCAAATGCCAGCCTT